GCCGCTTCTAATTCCAGTGGCTCCACTTCCCATCCAGCTCTCTGCTTGTGGCCTGGAAAAGCAGTCAACCATGGCCCAAAGCCCTGGGACCCTGCAACCACATGGGAGACCTGTAAGAGGCTACTGGCACCTGGCTTCTGATCAGCTCAGCTCAGGCCATTGCAAACACTTGAGGAGTGAATCAGTGGCTGAAAATTCTTCCACTCTGTCTTTCCTCCTCTGACTATATCTGACATTCCAAAGAAAATCAATCAATCTTACAAAAAAAAATAAAAGAAAGAAACACAGACTTGACATGAAGAGTTCCCTGGAAGCGATGAACTCAAATTAGAGTTTGGAAAAGATATGTGAACTTTAACAGGGAAGCTTTAAGAGTGTTGCTTGTGGCTACTGTCCTCATCTTGCACACAGCGGGATCCCATATGGGTGCCAGTTCTAATCCTGGTGGCCCTGCTTCCCATCCAGCTCCCTGCCTGTGGCCTGGGAAATCAGTTGAGGGCAGTCCAAAGCCTTGGGACTCTGCATCCATGTCGGAGACCCGAAAAGGCCCCTGAAGCCTGGTTTCGATGGGCACAGCTCCAGGAGTTTTGGCCACGTGGGTGGGGGGAGTGAATCAATGGATGCAAGATCTCTCTCTCTGTCTCTCCTCTCTGTAAATCTGACTTTCCAATAAATTTTTTTTAAATTAATAAAATTTATTTTTATATTCTTTACATACTTAGTTAGAGTAAGAAGGTTCAAGGGCTACAGGAAAGTGGATAATACTAGTATGTTTTCCATATTGTTACCTTCATGTTTAAAAGGGGGGTATTAAGGGAGAAGGCCCACCCAATTTCCCACCCTCCCCAAGTCCCGGGTGTAGGGCATGCTCTGAGGTTCTTGCTCAAGTGGTTTTGATGTTGCAACAGTTATGAATCGCTGTCAATCTTGCCACTCCAAGCACTATGAGGTCTTTGAAAAATCCACTGATTGACATAGTCCATCATAGCTGAGATGGTTGGTTGACATAGTTCTGTCTTCTCTCTTTTCTTTGTTAGGGTTCTGAGTCCAGCATTTAGATTAGGAAGATCTCCAAAGAAACTTCTTGTATGTGCTAACAAGTACAGGGCCAGGCACCGTCCATCGCTCCAATCAGCTGGTGGTTGTAATTGCTGGGTTGGTTCTGTTTTCACTCCCGACTTCCACTGGAACCAATGGGTGTTGCAGTCCAGCCTGGTTCTGCCCCGCACACACTTGGCCCTCAACCAAACCAGTGGGAGCTGCAGCCTAGTTGGAGCGACCCACAATAACCCCCACCAGGACCGCCCCTACCCTAGTTTGCCAGTAAGTGTAGCAGTAATCCAGTCTGCCCAACACCCCATTCCACCCCAGCCACTGTTTAGTTTTATGTCCTCCCGTGGAAGTGGTAACCCAAGAGGGATGAGCCCACTATTACCCTCCCAGGCCTCTCCCACTCCCAGATTCCAGTTACTGCTGCCCAAACAACCCTCGCCCACTTTAATTCTGTTTGCACCAGTAGGAATAATCAGCCCAGCCCGGCTTTTCCCTGATCTAGTCCACATGAGGCACACAGGTGTGGTAGCTCTGCCTAGTCTGGTCTGCCCCCATCCCAGCCCATGCTCTCCTGCGGAAGTAGCTATCCTGCAAAGGAACCCTCCCTTATTCCCCTGCTGGCTCTGCCTACTTCCTTTCTTGTTCTCAGTCTGGTTGGGCGCTGCGGTCCCTTCTGGTACAGGCAACCTCACCTCGGCATTCCATATTGTGCACTAGTCTTTGTTGCGACCGAACCTGGGTCGACCCACACTGGTGCCTGCATTTGCCAGTGGATGACGTGGACAGATTCAGCCTGGTCTTGCCCCCACGTCTGCCAAGTGTATGCCAGTGGGTAGCTTTCCATGGCCATTTCTGGGCTGTTTCCTATCATGTTTCTTGCGCTGACCTGCCGGGTCTGTGTCCTGCCAGAGGAGTTGCCCAGGCTCCTCCATCAGAACCTCTCCCAATGCCAGGTTACACGCTTACCAGTGGGTCCATGAGCCAATCCTACTCAGTCCACCTCCTGTCATAGCAGGAACTATGGCTTTTCCTGACTGGCCTTCCACCCAATCTGGTTCTTGCTGTTGGATGTTCCAGCCCAGCCATGGTTTGTCCATACCTACGTATGGCTCACACATGGCTCAGTAGGGGTTTGAGACCTTGCCTAGTCTATCACACATCTGCCCTGGTCCTCCAGAACACCAGGGGGAGTCGGGGTCCAGCCCGGTTCGGTGCATCCAATCCCAGTCCACACTTGTGCCAAGGGAGACTACAACTGTATCCAGATCAGAACGCAGCCCCCCTTCCACGCCACTCGCCTCTTTGTGGGAACCTCAGCCCAGCTAGGGTTGTCCCCTTTGCTCCCCAACCGGGTCTGTTCCCAGCCATAGATCACTCGCATGCCAGTGGTTGCTCTGACTCAGCTTAGCACAGCTCCTCACCTGTGCCGACCTCTGCCTTAGACACTGTGGCTTCGTGTCCCTGGCTCCTGCAGACCAGTAGGTACAAGAGCCTAGCTTGGCATGACCTTTGCTCCCTCCTGGTTTCTAGTTTTGCTTGTGGGCTAAGGTTTGCTCCTTCGTACCAGATCTACTCTGTTCCCCACCAGTTGACACATTAGCCAGCTGTTGGAGCTACTTTTGCAGGACAAGCCCCAAGCCCAGGCTTCTGCATGGCCTGGTATTTGGTGCCCAGCATTATTAGTGATTACAACTTTTACAAAGAAAGAGTTACTGCCTGTTTCAGGTCCGAGAATCACAATGGGCTCAACCTGGAGCTAATTAAGCAGCGACTGAAAGAACCAAATCCCCAGAGCTCCCCAGCCGGGTGGCCAGCAGGCGGAGCCTGGCGCCAATGGCGCACTGGCCTCCCGGACACGGCTCACCATGTGCCCATGGTGGCCGTCCGGAATCCAGGCATGAGACGCCCAGTCCTGAGACCCACCAGCTGCCAGGAGGCTGCTGGAGGTTTAAATTTCCAGGCCTAAGGTCGCGCCCCTCCCAAATCCCCTTCACCGCCCAATGAGGGCAGTGGCTGGGTGCCGGACCTGCCCGGTCCCAGAGGCCTCCCCCCTCGGTCTACTCACCCCAAAGGAAGCAGCCTCTGGAGCCCAGCAGGCCCGGACACGGCTCACCATGTGCCCATGGCGGCCGTCCGGAATCCAGGCATGAGACGCCCAGTCCTGAGACCCAACAGCTGCCAGGAGGCTGCTGGAGGTTTAAATTCCCAGGCCTAAGGTCGCGCCCCTCCCAAATCCCCTTCACCACCCAATGAGGGCGGTGTCTGGGTGCCGGACCTGCCCGGTCCCAGAGGCCTCCCCCCTTGGGAAAAAGGAAAAAAAAAAAACCACTGTGGAGCATTGTTTCCTGGGGAACATCAAGAGAGCAATATAACCCCGAGAAGGGATACAAACCCAAGAAGGAAGCAAATGTGATGTGAACATATATTATTTTTGGAGTTTCAATGGCTGCCAAATCCTAAAATTTGAGGATAATTTTAAATCTACAGGATGAAAATACTCAATAAATTCCTAGTTCATCTCTCTCTCTTTCTCCCTCCCTCTGTCTCATACACACAAGCACACACCATACAGAAAAACAAAAAGTCACATATTATTACAATTACCTAAAGTCAACAGTGACGAACTTTAATAAGGGCAAGTATTTGACAAAAGAGTTAAAATTCTATATGTATTAGTAGAGTGGACTCTGATCCTGGTACTTGGATAAAACAATTTCAAGGCTTTTGAGTAAAAGTTCAATAGTAGGATTACATGACTATGTTAAGTATCTTTTCTAGTTTTTAAATTAAGTTCCAAATTTTTCCACAATAACTAAACCAATTGATATTTCCATCAATAGTATGTAAAGTTTGCTTCTTAGCAAAATCCTCACCAGCGTATGTTACTACTACCTATATTGTTCTTCACAGTGAGAAAGTGTATTTACAAGTTGAGAAAGTCAGACACACAAAAACATCCTAGAAGATTTTATTCTGTACTTGTGATCAATATATGTAGTAACTCAGCACTATTTATTTTCATCTAACCGTGCTAGAACCTCAGAAATATTTTATCCTATGTATATGCAACCTATTACTCATGAATCTATTTGATCATTTCCTCCCTCCCGACTTTCCGAGGTAACATTTTTGAGGATTTTGTTATTTTCATTCTTCTGTGCTTACCCAATTTCAAGAACATAGTTCCCTCTGGGTGCATCAATTTTATTGCAAATAATAAGGCTGCTTTTTTATGGCTGAATAGTATTCCACAATAGAAATTATATAAAATATGGGGTAATATTATATAACTCACATATATTATTATACACAATTACACATGAATATGTAATACAGTTCTATATAATAGAGTATACAATATAATCATCATTATGTAATTAATATAATATATTATTAACAGGTAACAATAATATTGTTAGCAGATAAATTTTATTTCCCTTCAGTTTATACGTTGATGGTGATTTTGGGGAGATCAACCCGAGTGTAAGCCTAATCCTCATTTGCATTGTGTCATATCCTTGCTTTTGAGAGACTGACACATGCAATTTTCTTATGTGCAAGGAATAGTTTTCTTTGCTTAATTCAATCTGTCTGCTACAAGTCCTTATGTCAAAACAAGGCCTGAAAAATAAGTTCACAATAGAGTTACATTTGGACAAATCAAGTCAACATAAGCAATCACCTGTGGCAGCCCTCTATCCCTTTAAATACTGGCTGAGCCCCCTGGGCTGAGTGATGTCACCAGGACATCCTAGAATTCCGAGGTCTTCGTTGTGATTTGAATCATAACAGTCCTGCTGCCATACTGCGTATCAGGCAGGACAGTGCTTGGGAGCCACGAACGTCTCCTGTGATTTGGTGTCCTTGGATTTTCATATTCAGTCTTTTCTTGATACCACCAACTACCTGACAGTAGAGTTACAGGTAGAAAGCTTAGCCTTTGAACCATGGAGCAGAGAGAGAAAAGGAAACATCTGGAGCGTGAGTACACTCCTCCAGCTGTAAAGAAATCAAGAGGTATGTGGAGAAGATCCTTGGGAATGTGGAAACCAAGAATGCCCTCCGCCGTCAGGAAGAGTAGGTCCCTAGTAGTAGTGGAGAAGATAGTTAAGGCAGGTGACTGGGACAGTGAAGTGAGGAAACAGGGAGTGAGGAGGAGTTGTCTATTCGTGGCTCTTTCTGAGGGCCCAGTTTGCTTTCAGGTGTCCCAGGTACAAGGTCTATGTTGTTTACACAAAGTTCAGCCTGGCCCGAGTTTGGCCATTGGCAGCCAATTGGGGAGTGAACTGATGGATTAACGATCATCTTTTTCTTTGTAACTCTGATTTCAAGATCAATATTTTTCAGATGGTTATGGATAAGTACAAGCATATAAAATGTATTCCTTACTAAGGCGTAAGAAAGATGTTCAAGCATGAACATAAACTCATAAAGAATTGTTTCTTTACTAAGGGATAAAAACAAATTATTTGCTTTAGTCTGTGCAAATGTAAATTGGATGTTTTAGGTTAATGTAAGACATAAAATAGGGTAAGGCCAGTACGCTGGCTCCGTGGATAAATCCTCACCATGTAAACATTATGATCCCTTATTGGTGCTGGTTTGTCTCCTGGCTGTTCCACCTCCCATTTTGGCTTCCTTTTTGTGGCCTGGGACTGTAGTGTAGGATAACCCAAAGACTTGGGACCCATATGGGAGACCTGGAAAAAGCTCCTGGGTTCAGATCAGCTCAGTCCTGGCTGTTGTTGCCACTTGGGGAATGTAACAGTACTTGGAAGATCTTTTTGTCTCTCCTCTCTGTGGATCTGTCCTTCCAATAAGGGTGAATAAATCTTAAATAAAACAGGAAACAAACATACATAGTCCCATTTAGACACATTGATTACATGGGAAGTGGGGTTTGACTAGGGAAATATAGGCAATTGGCAGTTATGGTTACCATGGAACCTAACCAAAAAATAAACAACTCATTAGACAGGGCAAATGCTCAGTAGGGGGAGTTGCAGACTGAAGCCAACTGCAACATTCAAAATTCTAATTCATATCACATAGGAGTATTTGATATTTTCAACAAAATTTTAGGTTTTCCATATTCTGATGCTCACTTTGAGAGGGTATCAAGAGTGAATGAGTTTATTTCAACTTCACTAAGATTAGCGCATATTAAAAGATGTCATTGAGTGTAAACAATGAGACCTGTAGAGCAAGGGTCATAACTTAGATGCTGTACACACAACTATACATGCATAAGATGCATGAGTAAGAGGGACAGAAGTGTGATATTGAATATATTTGTTTACATGCTGTCTACCCATTGTGATTATTTGACTCTCAAAAATGCCATTAGAAATTAGGCAATGATGATTTATACATGATTGATCTATTTTTTTCTGTATAAGAATTCAGGGTTTATGTGCGGGTCAAGTGGGCACATTTCCTCCATATGATACTTTATAAGCCATCAGAGCTGAGTCACTCCAACATCCCAAAACAGGAGAAATGCTTCTGTAATAGGAGTGCTAAGGTTTTCAACAGTATATACACTTTATTTTCTGAACTAATAGGCATGCCTGTTCTCAACATTTAGCATGTGATAATCAGAATATGTATAAGTTCAAGAAATGAAACAAACATATTGTTCATCGAATGACTGTTATTCCATTCTCCATCAATCACAGATTTACAGAAGAGGGAGTCACCACCTGGGAGCGTTTTGGATGACAAGATCCTGGTCCAAGAGGAAGAAGATCCATCTGGCAAGTTGCAGTGCTACACCCATGACTCCAGTGTGTGCACGCCTTATGATGTTGGTAAGGAGGCAGGATGCTCAGATAAATCAGGGCAACGGGAGGGAGAGCAGATCTGTAGCCACTAAGTTGATCAACATTTCTCAGAGAAACTCAATGACAGCAATATATGTATAAGGTGCAGTTTCCAAGATGAACTGTAGTACTGTCAAGAGAGGTTATCTACATTTTTAAAGATTAAGGTGACGAGAAAAATGTAGAACCATTAGTGGAGTAAATCTGTTCAGCAAAAACACATTCAGAGGAATGAAGACCAGGAACCAACTCTGTGCAAAGAGCTTAGTAGGTATGAGATTGAATACTAAAACACCTCTACAAATAAGTGCTCTTGTACTGACAATAGTAGAGTAAATAAAAAGCAATGTGTGCACTTGGTCATCAAGTTCAAGTGAACTACATAGCCCAACCATGATTGGCTTCACTTTCCCTCAAATATGTGCAACTGCTTCCCAAAGAAAGGCTAATATTGATGTCTTGAGGGAAGGACAAATAGGGGCCATTCCTCTAGGAATAGGACACAGCCCCTCAGTACAGAGTCACCACATTTGATGTGATCGTAACCTCCCCAGCAAACTGAACACCTGCCCACATGTTCTACTGCTTCTCCCCAGGAACCCAATTTCTCCTCCTGTTAATTTGCTCTTTCAAATTAAGTAGGAGTAATTACTACAAAGCGTGTACTCCATGGCTTTCCCATACACCATTTCTCCCAAGGAAAAGGAAGCTCATCATGGATATCAGACTTTATTAACTGACTTCATCTTCTGTTTGGGCAAGCTTCCCACTTTTCAATATTCTGTCAACATCCTCAGCAATGTCACATAACAGATACTCAATCTTACGGATGTCTACCACATACACAATTTTAACAACTTCTCTATCGGTAGCAATTTGCAATATGGTTCAGCTAAGTGTGAGAGCAAGTCCCATGATGGGTGGTGGACAGGGAGGAGACAGTAATGCCTGAAGCAAAACAGCCACTTAGTATGCTCCTTTTAGAATAGACACAGTTAAGCCATGACACAATGTGTTTTCTTGAAATTTCCTTCTCAGACTTCCAGCTGCTTCCACAAGATGTGCCTGAGCCATGTGAGGTCGTGGAGATTGAAACCCGCAGCCAGGCACCAGGAGACAGTGATTCCAGCTCCAAATCAGTCTCCTCTTCAAGCACATCCAGAAATTCTGATGAAGAAGGTAAGGCAGATGCAAATGGAATGTCTGAACAAACATAGGCTATTCAGTTAATATCCTGGACACCCCCTAATTACCTCACACTTACTTCAGTTACACAAAAGAACTTCAAGAAAGAGTAAGACTGAAGCCTTGGGGTGGGACAAACAGACAATGTGTTCCCAAGAAAGAGCACAGTCCTTCAGCACAGCATTGTCCCAAGTGAGCACTGGGAGAGCTGGCTGCATTGGCTGAGAGTGCCGACAGGTGTATGGAAACTTGGCTGGAATTTCCCCATGCAGACTGGCACACACTCATGTTCAGAGATCTCTACAGGCCTCTTCAGCTCAGACCAAGATGACGATTTCTCCTTTCCTTTAGCTGTTCTTTTCATGACACTTCTCATGCCCTGCGACTCTTATTCTTTCTGTAGACTCATGTACTCATGGGTACATCTTATATAATCCCCCTTGCAAACAGAATTTCAGGCCTAACCTGTTACTGACTAATCCCTTGAATACCTTTCACACACTCACAGGACACCTATCTTAACCAGCCCTGGGACTAGACGAAATTAAGGAAAACACTTGCAATTTGAGAGAATTAAGTTTCTGAGGTAGCCTTTCTCTTATGTCGCCACATTCACAATATCTGCAGGCTTTCAGAGCTGCATGACTTGAGAGTCATGTGTACTTCCTATGACACTGTCTACTCTCGCAGACAGCAGCAAAGCTAGCAACCATGTCTGTTCTTGCTCAGCTGTGCTGCACATTAAACAGTGCACACACATACACACACTACCATTTACTAACACTAGAAAAATATACTGAGTTTGTACAAGATCACAGAATCATCTCTAGCAGATATACCATGTCCCTATTGTCACATACAAGTCTTACCAATTCCATTCCATACAGGACGTATCATTTGAAGACACCTATAAGTGTAGAATCACATTTGTGCACGCACCCATCACACCCATCCCATGCACAGGGATACTCAGAGTGCCCCAGAAACACTACATCTTTATGCAAACTTAATCACATTTTCTAATGGTTGAAACTTTCCTTCTTAGAAATGCATCAAAGCCAGAAGGAAGATCTCGGTGTTAGACCCTCTGACAAGCCTTTACCCCAGGATGTGGGACAGAAGAGCTCCACTACCTGGAATGATATGTGCTTTCATTTGCACTTAGCCAATGAGCCCTGCTCAGATGCATTACATATGAGAAAGGAGCGGGCCATGAAAATCTATTACATGTATGTCAAAAGGCAGAGAGAGGCCAACACTGTATATAACACACAGGAAGGCTTGTTGCCTCCCAAGAAGAGGGCAAGAGTGCAAGAACTGAGCTGCATTGGCAAAGTCCCTTCGGAGGCCAGCTCTTCTTCTGTGCTTACAGAAGATATGATCATCGACAATGAGGCCAGCTGTGACACCACAGATGAAGATGATTTCAAGGCTGAGGGCCCAGCAGAGCCTCTAGCCCTGGAGGAGAAGCCCAAAATAAAGACACCTGAGTGGCTCTTGTGGCCAGAGCATGGCTTTCAATGCATGGCCTGCTGCCGAGTGTTCCCCAGCCTGGACATCCTGGAGGAACATGTAAAGAATGGAATCAAGGAGGGCTTCAGTTGCCGCATTTTTCATCTGGCCTTTGCCTGGATGAAATCAAAAAAAGAATAAACAAGAAGGCAAAGAAAAGGAGAACACAGAAAAACCAGGCAGAGTACACCTATGTATGCAAGGCAGAAATGTTTATACATGAGGAAAACATCAAGCAAATAAGCAAAGTGCTTTCAGCCTGTGAGAAAGAGGACAGGCAGTAGCCTCACTGTGCTGACACAGCTGCATCCACTTCAAGCAGCTGGAAGACCTGCTTTTCATTGCACAAACCTACCAGCTAGTGACCCACAGGACCATGGAACACTGGCAGATGCCATGTGCAATTCTCTACAGAGAGAAAGAAAGGTAGGCAGACCCTAACATCAAGACACTATGCCCTCCCAGCAGTAACAAACACCCTGATGTTACCACCAGCCCAGGTGAGAGGAAACTCACACTCTGGAAGCACAGACCGCTGTCATCTGCAATTAAAACAGTTCACAGGTAGGAAAGCATCCCCAAATACTCAGCAGTCATGGTTTGAGACAAGTGGGATCAGTAGGATATCTGCTTGGTTGACAACACTAGAGCCAGTGTCCTGTCCAGGTCCTGCCAGGGAGTTGCAGCAAAGGCTATTTTAGCAGCTCAGCGAAACAGAGCAGCCTGCACTCTCTTTCTTAAATGAGGCAATATTTGGAGTAGTCACACCTGCTTTAGCAACAGTCCTTGGCTCAATTCTGTGAAGAGCAAGACAGACGAGAGGGCTCTCTGACCCTGAGGAAGCGTGCATGTGTGCACCAAGGATGGGGCAACCCCTTTCCTGAAGGTAAGGCCTCAGGCTCTGTTCTCAGATGTTCATGCCCAGGAGCAGCTGAATAAGAAACTACGACCCCTTCAAGACCCAACACAAGTAGGATCTTTATTTGTTTCTTGGAGAAACTTTCCATGACATAAGCTAAGATTGAGGAATGAAGCTTCTTTCCTCAGGGTGGGCAGGGGTCAGAGGACAGAGAGGCACAGGGGCTCTTTGCCAGGCAGCTTTGTTCATGATTTTCATCCTGGGGGTGGGGGCACATGTATTCATCCTCACAATGCTTATAGATACTTTCTGTTACAGAATGAAGTATTCTGTCATGAAACAGCAGCGAAGACACTTGGAATGCAAACACCACTGCAAAGAGTTTGCAAAACCAGCTTTGTACTGCAACAAATGTGTATTGGGTTAGCTGGTTGTCAAACAAGGAGCTTTTGATCCATATTCTGAATGCTGTTGATAGAATGGGGAAAAAGAGTCTTGAATTCCTTGATCATGCTGGGGATTCTGAAAGAGACTAAGTCCTAGTCATGTCAATATCTTAGACTGCCTTCCTCAGAGAACTGATAGTCTTCTTTGTTTTGATTTTCTTGTAGTGCCACAGGTTCACTGGCCTGCATCAAAGGTGACTGTTACTACCTAAGACAGCCTTCTTCACACCCTGACAGCATCACGTGAGGACTGCTCTCCAGAAAGAAGCGAAAGATCCTTCTCAGCAACTCCCCAATTCATTGGTGAAACTCTGGTGCCAACAGGAAGGAGAATATCCAGGCATTAGAAGCCCCTAGGTACTGTGAAAATACATCCTCCTGAGGTATCTGCCTGCCAACCCCTCAGGAGGCCATGGCACAACTGATGACATCTTAGAGACTGTCTTGTGGAGACACACCAGGACACATAGGACATAGATGAAGATCATGGGAAGTGAACTTTACATTTGCAGAATCCTGGTAACAGCTCAGCAGGAATTTGGGATGGAGATTGCTCACCTCACTGAACATTTAGGATATCCTTGTTTATCTTCCCATTGAGCCCTCTACCTTAAGACCATTTCATTTCATGTGCGCTTGAACATCTGGTGCAAAAGCTCATGCCCCAGAACAGACACTGCTCTCTGTCCTCACCCTCACTACCTCTCCTTCTGCCCTCACCCGCAGGCACACCACTATGTGCTTGATGCAGAAAGCAAAATCATCTAGGACCTGAAGGATGCAAACTGTAACATCCAATCACTGAGTTCCATTTACTCTTTGTGTTCTTCAGCAACAATTTGATACATGCTTCTGCATCCTTTTTAGCACAGACCTTATCTCACATTCCTCCTAATATTCTTATCGGTACATTATCTGGCCAAGGACCAAGATTTATTATCAGAAGAGGGAAATCAGATGCTATATGGATGAAACCAAAAGCAACTGGCACCAAGTCCTTGGTTCTTCTGAGCAATGCACACATAGGGGAACAAGTGCTGCTTCTGCACTCGTAATGGAAGGATGGAACACATCATCAACCACTCAGGACACTGAAATCTATGGCTCTCTCTCCTTTCTTTAAACTGTTCTTTTCATGACACTTCTCATGCCCTGTGCCTCTTTTCCTTTCTGTAGACTCATTACATGGGAACATCTTATAACATCCCCCTTGCAAACAGAATTTCAGGCCTAACCTGTTACTGACTAATCCCTTGAATACCTTTCACACACTCACAGGACACCTATCTTAACCAGCCCTGGGACTAGACGAAATTAAGGAAAACACTTGCAATTTGAGAGAATTAAGTTTCTGAGGTAGCCTTTCTCTTATGTCGCCACATTCACAATATCTGCAGGCTTTCAGAGCTGCATGACTTGAGAGTCATGTGTACTTCCTATGACACTCTGTCTACTCTCGCAGACAGCAGCAAAGCTAGCAACCATGCCTGTTCTTGCTCAGCTGTGCTGCACATTAAACAGTGCACACACACCCACACACACACACGACACTACCATTTACTAACACTAGAAAAATATACCACGTGTGTACAAGATCACAGAATCATCTCTAGCAAATATACCATGCCCCTATTGTCACATACAAGTCTTACCAATTCCATTTCATACAGGACATATCATTTGAAAACGCAAGTGAAGCAGCACATTTGTGATTATCAGAAGAGGGAAATCAGATGCTATATGGGTGGGACCAAAAGCAACTACAAACTACTCCTTGGCTCTCCTGAGCAACACACACGTAGGTGAACAGGTGCTGCTTCTGCAGTCACAGTGGATGGAACTCAAATCTAAGTCCAAGCATGTGTCCCTCCAACCACGTTTCCATTTCAAGCTCAGACACCTAGGATTGCAAAAGCTAAATATCTTTTTTTTTTTTGGAATATCTCATTGCATGTTTCATTTGTTCGCTATTTCTTATTTCACTCTGTGTTCACAAACAAAAAGTGCCAATTCTCACCTGCACAAAGCTATAGAATGGACTAGAAATGGTAATAACTTAGCTTTCAAATGATGGTTTAGCTTTTACCCTTTTAAAATTAGTAAAGATTGAGACTGGCAGATGGGCATCTGTGGGGATACATACATTTGGTTATCTTGAATTGACTGATCATGTGTTCCTTCCTTCTTTCCTCATATTTGTGTGTATGAGAAGAGTAAATGAACCCGTGTGTGAGAGCTCATCAGGGATGAGAGGTGGACTGCTCTTGCTTTTGCTTTTGTCTGCCTACTGGCTTTCCCCTCTTCTTTCATACAAATACCTCCACTGCAGCTCTGTGCATGGGCAAGTGAGCCGTCCAAATAGTGAGGTCGTTCTCCACTTGGCTACTGGGACTGACCTAGAGGTAAACGTCTGTCTGTGTCAGACCAATCCAAGCTGTATAGTGACATTCAGAAAAAAAAAATTACTACATCTATAAAAGCCAAAAAAAAAAAAAAAAAAAAAACCAACCACAGAACAAGCAGTCCTGCTGAGGCTGTGTACTTTTGCTTTGGGTTACCTTTAGTCTCTGAGTTTCATGGTTCTCTGAACTTGAGTCAACCCTCTTTTCTCATTTGCCTGGATATGATAACTGCTGCTGCATTTTGCTAACCATCCTACTAAACATCTATGTTGGACCAATCTATACTACATCTTTTAAGACACAGAGGAGAGAGAGAGATTTTGCTGGTTTTTCCTAAGTCATCATCTGCCACTTGAGTTGAGTTTCAACAATTCTCTGCCCTCGCAGTTTCTCCAATTACTCTTTTTTTGAAATATCTCATTGTTTTGCTACTTGAATTTACTTCACTTTCAGTAAACTGTCATGTTGTGTCTGTTATCCTGAGTCCTTTACTGTTGTTACTTATGCACATTAGCTTTAACATGGTAATTTCTTTCATTTTAATATCACTGAAAGCCTATATTCTACAAAGTACAGCAAAGTGAATTCCTTACATATTATGCTAAAGCATTTGGGTTTTCTTGAGCTTAGAGGACACGGTATGGCCTTAACTGAGTAGGGATTTAAGAGTCAAGATATTTCAACATCTAAATAAAAAGATGTGGTTTCAATACAGTTGAGCTGGGGTTAAATTGCTTTAAGAAGAGTTAGATCTCTTAATGTGAAAGCTAATAGTATAAAGTATGATATTTAAATAACACAGTGATAAATGTTTGAGGCAGTTTTTGTGAGTGCAATAACACAAAGAATAGCACACAATGTGGTCCCTGATATCCATAGCTATTCAGCACATTTTAAAAAAATTTTTACTTGTGTTTCACATGCTGTGTCTGTCATCTAATGACTTCTGAATTACAGAGGATGAGATTAGCATTCAGAACAGTGAAACATCTTAAATGCAAACTCCAGTGTGGCTCTACTCTGTCACACTCTAGACATTCATGACACTTTTATCTCAATGTGACACATACATCATGCCTAGACATATTTTAAACCCAAGTTGGGCTCTGCTGAATAGTAACAACACCTGTGTTGATGGGCTACTGTGTGACATTTCAGTACATGTACACAGCATGCACTGATAGATCAAATAAGAGTAAATGGAAATTTTCCCTTTGACAACAGTTTCTGGTTCAAGGCTTAGAGCCAAAGAATTTCTGCTCAAAAATTTTATAGATGTTATTGTGAACTAAAATGTTTCCACTATGCTATATAACACTAGGAACTAACCTTTTAATTTGATTCCGATTTGATATTTATAATCCAAAATTCATCTATGCCTCCCATCCCTCCCAGCCTCTACAAAATCACAAGTCTCTATTCATCTTGAGGCTT